CCCCCCCCCGCCCAATCTAGTTGGTCTAATAAAAGATATCACCTCTACCATGAGTCCTGATTGCTTTTTCCTGTAGACCAATATGGCTATAACTTGGATACCTAACATGTGTGCTTGTGTACCAACAGTGCTAATATGGAGCAGCGCATTTAAGAGGATCTTACAATGCTGCTTGAGAATCAGAGGACTAAATGGAAGTACAAACTTACACATAAGCACACACTGATTTGCATATGCACTCACAAGCCAAACAGCTATCCTAGGCACAACTTCAGTTAAGTTGTTGATCCCAAAGTGATGTTTTTGGTGACAGATTCCTTGTTACAAGTTACTCAATATTTCTTAGTAATTTAAACTCATCTTTACCTCATGCTCTTGGAAGTTTAATATTTCTTGACCTTGACACACAGGCTGTCCAGATGAATGTGGTTGTGTGGTATGTGGCACTGCAGACATGTTTGTGGCACCACATACTACACATTCAACTGTTCTCTGTGCTGCGAGGTAGCAGTGCATGAGGGAGCAGGGGGGTTGACCCTAGAAGATCCCAGGGTAAAAAAACCCCACGCTAAAAAAAAGTGGAGTTGTGCATATGGGGGCAGCGTGCACTGGCCAAAACCAGAGCCTGGCTACCCAGAGCCACACTCCAGCTGCCAGGCTCTGAGTGGTAGGATTGCTCCTGCAGCCCCAGGAGGCTGCTGGGGTCAGCCCAGTCCTGGCCCCAGCCTCCCCTACCTCACCTGGTGTAAACTGCTATGCACCGGAGGCTGAGTGGCACAGGCATTCCCCGGGAACAAGTGGTAGCAGCACAAAGTGTGCCACTGCTGCTTGTCCCTGGGGAAACAAACGTCCATGCTCATGTGGATGCGGCCAGATGTATTGTCTTATCAGTTGACATGGATCAGATAAGCCAAAATAAATGAGTATCACAAACAAATAAAATTGTACACTGCCTTATTTGTGGTTCAGTAACGAACCGTGACCAGTAATTTCCTTTAAAATAGAAAGGCAGTAACTTGTTGCATACTTTAACTGTAACATGCTACATATTAGAGCCACAGAAATAGAGGAATACACAAGGCTCTTCTGTCAATGGTAAATTGGCAGGATTAAATATGTAACCCCTCCTTATTTGCTTAGCATTCCATCTGCAAGAGACCATGTAGAATTTACTCCCATTTGATTGGAATTTATTTTGAATTGCAGAGGACTTTCCTGGAGAGATACAGTGAAGGAATGGCTAGCTGCAATTTTGCTTCTTATCAGAATTGCAAAACACATTCACAAAACTTTTAGTGAAAAAATTAAAGAACATCAAAGCAAAAGCCCAAATAAAAATATCTTCCCAAGCACCCCACTTTAAAATTCATATCTTCAAATTATGCATTCTGCAGGAGTATCCACACTAATGAACTCCCCACATAAACAATTGTATGTGAAAGTCTGTCTCATGCTTTGTCTTGCCTGTAATATAGTGTAAACTCTCTGAGGCAAGCCCAGGGTTCTTTAAATTTGCTGAAGAGCACAAGTCTGGTTATTAGCAGAGTTTACATCTAGGGACTATATCTAACATGGTGTTCTTTGAACTTTCCAGAAGCAAATGCAAACAGTTTTTTTGCAAACTAAACAATGTGTAGATAAAATGAAAAAGGAGAAGGGATAACATAAATTATGAAAATAACCTTGTATAGTATGGATTTCCCACCTGTCACATTGAATTTTCACTTGTTTGAAATAAGCCTGGTCTCCATGTAGGCTTTTTTTCTGTCATTTCCTGTTATGGCATTTTAAATTAACTAATAACAATCCTTTCCCTAACCTTCTAAAGTTTGACATTAGCATATGTTTAACATTACAACTTGCAGCTATCAGTTCTTTCCCTCATCCCCTTGCTTTAGTCCTTTCAAAAGTATAACATGGAGTGTAGATGAAGAATTTGGATGAATTCTGATGATGTCAGTGGGCTCTTGAAGAATTTATTTAGTCACTTGACGTTACCAGGTTGGTGTATATGAAAGTCTGTCTACTGCAAGTCAAAATCCTAAAATCACCACTGTACCTATACTCCTCCCAGAGAGAATTTCCATAAACATTTCATTTTAAAAACACTTCAATATTTTAACTCTCCAATAGTTTAAAAACATATTGATGTTTTGAGGTACCTGCATCTTTTGGTCTTCTGACAGTGACAGGATACATTTTAGGAAGCTTGGTCAATATGGAGATTTACTAATTATGGGACAGATCATGCTCGTACATAGAATACTAAATGAATGCATGTACAACCTAATTTGAAAGTATTTTCTTGTACTGGATTAGGGTTTGCATAGTAAATTGTAACAAAAATTTAACCAAGAGGCAATCAGCAGATATCAGATTTTCAGGTTTTTAGTGATAGTTTGGTTGAACCCCAATGTCCAAAACAGCTAAAGTAGAAACCCAATGCAGCAGTGGATAAAGTAACACAAACTACTATGCTTTTAGAAATGACTAGTTTTGATATTGTAAGTGAAGCAATGTATTTAATAAATGAAAAGATCTTTCTGTTGAAAGAATAGTAGTAGCTGTGACTTCTGGAAGGTATGATGCTGGTAAGAGAGGTTGTAAAAATTCAGTCCTGAGGCCACTTTATATTTCAGTACCATTTATTTTGAACATGCAATGGAGCATAAACTGTGGGTCCAATTAACTCCTGTTAATCAGGAGTTATTCTAAGGCAAAATGATCTTAACCAGCATGTAAATCAGACCCTTACATGAAAAGACTGGTGTATTTAAAAACTCTTGACAGAAATAAAAATATTTAGCTTCTTACTGAATGCCTCAGTCTCATTTCTCTATTTAACTCACATTTTATACTCCCGTAATCCAGGGAGCCACAAATTAGCAACCCCCCCCCCCCCAATTTAAGTGTCAATTGACACTTAAAATTAATATGGATCCACTGCGCATATCAATGTTAATAAGATTAAGGAATAAGAAAAAGCATATTTTCACAATTTTTAAATTCATGACAACCTCTAGCAAATTGTAATTCAAACAAAAGAATTTGCATACTTATCCAGTCTACAATTACTTTTTTTATAGTGTATATTTAGGAATTGGTCCAGAGTTTTGCCATCCAGATTTCCTCAGGTACTACTTCAATTTTTAGTGTTAATATAAATCTTCTAGATGTTCAATTCATAAGACAGGAAGCACAAAATGATTTGGGTTTAGTTATATTTATTGAAAACATGGTAGAAACATTGTGAACTGGGGAGCACAAATGTTTTAATTCACTTTATTCACTTATATAGATTTTCAAGAATCTTGCTCTATTTCTGTCCAGTCTATATATGGATTCCTTTGTTGCTTATTGGAAGGACAAGTATTTGCAGCAGTTACATTATGGCTGTATTTTGTTTCTTCAGGTGGCTTACACATGAGGAAAGGATGATGAGGGGGAATCCTCTTTGATGATGTAGCTGGCCGGTCACGTGGGAGGCAGCTCAGCTGTGCCTACCCCTGATGTTTAGTTTTGACTCTCTGATCTTGTTTTAAATAGAAGTGTAGCATCTTGGTGTGTAACCCCTGAGGAAAGCAGGATGGCCAAAACCTTGGGCTGATTCCTGTATGTATAATAAAAATAGCAGTTAGGAGAATGGATATGTAACTAGGTTTTCATCTTTGACTAGGAATAAGTTTTTTTGTGGGAGATAGGAATCTCTTATCAAGCTAGAGTCTGATCTGTTTTTACAAATCCAGATTAACTCCAGGTTTCAACAAGTTAACAACAGTGTATTTAAGATCAGAATCTTACTAATCTTTTTCAGTGTTTGTACCATTTATTAGCTCTCTAGTACCCAAACGAATGTGTTTATTATTTGTTCCTGAATAATCATAGATTGAATATTTCATTTGAGATTTTTCCAAATGCTGTGAATCACATTAGTGCTTTCTTGTGAAAAAGTAGAAAGATCTCTCAGGTTCTTTTATCCAAAAAAAAGAAAATCAGATCTACAAAAGTACACCCTATTATGCGAGTTCTCTTCAGTAGATCAGTAGACATATACAAACTTGTACACTATATTTTGTTAAATTTCTATCCAAATTATACAAAGAAATGGTTAAGGACATATACTACTTCTGAAGAAAGCAGTATTTTTAACTTTATTGTTTTAGGTTGAGAAAATTATTTATAACACTTAAAAAATAAAAACACTCCAAAACATCTATCGTCTCCCCAAAACCTGGAATTTGAAGAAACTGAAGTGAGAACAGTTCAAAAGAACTATGTGTGTGTAAGCTTGCTAAATCTTGACCACTAAGGGAAAGGGATAATGATACCGGCCTGTAACTCTCAAGGATTTCTAAGCTGCGCCAGTTGGGACTGGGAGTCCCGCAGCTGTAGGACTCTCCACCCTAGTGCTGTAGGGCTGCCACCAGGATGGAGAGCTCTGTAGCTGCGGGACTCTCAGTCCTGGTGGTTGTGGGGTGCCACCAGGAAGAAGAATACCCTCAGCTGCAGGACTCCCAGCCACCAGCTACACACAGTGCACAGCTGGGAGCCCAGTCAGTTGACGGGGCCCCCAGCCACAGGGGCAGACCTTGCTACACATGTAAATATAAGCTGGATAGCAATCAGCTATAAAGTCAGTACAGATTTTTTAGGTCTAACTTTATAGCTGGTTAGGCATTTTAGTGGTACAATAGGTACTCTGCATGTAGCTGGTCTCAGTTAATTAACCAGTTAACTGCACAAAACATTTAATGTGTAGAGGGGGCCTTAGAGTCTTGTCCTTCCTTGTCATAGAGGGCAGGACAATTTTTCCTCATCTTTATGTCAACCTGTCAAATATTTGAAAATACTATGCAATCCGTAATCTCTTTTTCTACAGTCTAAACGCATACAGTTCCTTCAGCCTACCATTGGAGTGTACCGTTTACACCCTAATACCTTTTTCATCATTGTCACTTACCTCTGGACCGTCTCCAGTTTCTCTAAACTTTTTAAAAATGTGTGCTCAAAATTGGACACAGGATTTCAGTTGGGGACTACTAGTGCTAGCTAGAATGATACTATCATTCTGTCTTGTATACAATGCTTCCCTTAAAGCAACCTAAAATTGTATTTGTTTTCTTTTTTACAACATCACACTCATGAGATTGCGATCCATCATAACCCCTAGATCCTTCTTCACTATGCTACTGCCAAGCCAATTATCCCTCATTCTGCATGTGTGTATTTTGTTTTTCTTCTCTATGTGTAATAGCTTACATTTCTCTTTCTTGAATTTCATTATCTACAGTGTATTTCTCCAATTCATCAGATTCTTTTAATTTTAATCTTATCTTCCAGTCTGCAATCCTTCCTAGTTCTGTGCCATCTGTGATTTGAACAGTGTCCTCACTATGCCTGCATTAACATATTTCCCGAAGTGAACATGGTAAACAGCAATGGACCCAAGACAGACTTCTGTGGAGTGCCACTTGAGACCTTCTGACATTGATCCATTAATAGTCACTCTTTGCCTGTGGTTATACAACCAATTATATATCTACTTAATTTTATCCAGCCCATATTTCTTCAGCTTACTTATAAGAATGGCATGTAGGAATGCACTGACAATCTTATGAAAGTCCACCTCATTCCTCTTATCCACCAAACCAATTACTCTGTCAAATACAGAAATCAAATTGGTTTGGCATGAACTGCCCTTTATAAATCCATGTTGGTTACTGGTTGGCTACCCCTGCATCCTAGGCAGAAAGCTTAAGCCAGACAAAGGCCCAGTGACACAAGATGCAAGCAATAGCAAGAGATAGTCAACAGGTCAATTAATAGGACAATGAGTGGGAGGTTGCAGGGGGATTTTCCTCATCTACAGTTCAATACCTTTTTTTGTTTAAGGCTGCTGAGCAAAAGTGTAAGAGGGGGAGAGGGATTTTTTTCTTCCAAAGAAGCTGCATTGTAATGATTAGAAGACACAATAGCAAAACTGTTATTGGTGCTTTGCCTCTACCTGTTGAGGACTTGTCCACATGCCGCCTCCAACTTCTGAGGCTTCCACCTAGGTTGCAGCCTCATTGTGTGAGAAAAGTGGCCTGCATTTCTCTGCTAATGACAACAAGGTGGGGGTGGTGGGAAAGTCTCTGAAGAGAGAGGTCCTTACTAGTGGATTCCCTCAAGAATATGGTATGAGAACTCAGGCATGAGGCCTGAAGAAGGAGGTGGCCAGGCTTTGATTTATCCATAAACATGGGGACAAGATGTAACAATCTTAAATTGCAACAAGGGAAACTTAGGTTGGGTATTAGGACAATCCTTTTAAGTATATGGGGCATTAAGAAGTTATGGATGTTTTTAAGTGAAGGTTAAACAAATGCTTTGGTGGAATAGTTTAGATAGGGATGACTGTGCCTTAAACAGGAGGGGTAGACTAGATGACCTCATTGGGTCCTTCCTAGTCCTAATATTCTATGATTTACAAATTAATGTTTTATAGCCTGGTCTAGTAACTTAACAGGTACTGAAGTAAGGCTAACTGGTCTATTATTTCCTGGATCTCCATGGGAAGGTTTTTTCCTTTTAAATTTTAACACTATGTTTGCCATAGCAGTAGGTTAGCTTCCCCTTTTTTTCTTTTATTAATTTTACAAGTCCTCTGATCGCAGTTTATTTTTTCTGTGAAGACTGAAACAAAGTAGGCACTGAGCAGCTCCACCTTCTTTGATCTTCTTCACCATGTACAACATTGACAGGTTTTTTTGGTCTTTCTTTTTCATCTGACATTTGTAGAACCTCTTACTGTCTTTAATCCCTCTTGCCAGTTGTAGCTGATTTTCTGCTTCTGCTTTCCTGATTTTTATTCCTATGTATTTTGTGGCCTATAGGGTCTGATTTAGGATGCAGTAAGACTAAATAGGAAAGCCTTAGGATCTATGAGACTAATTTTGATAGGAGTAGGCCCTGGGCCTGACTAGACTGAGCTTGGCATAAGTAGGCCTGACATTAATAGATAACTGAGACATGAACTTTATCATCCATGTTCAAGAAAATGTACTTAGGTGGTAAACAAATATGTTCAGTAGGACACGGCATATTTTAATAAGAATATTAGGAAAAGAAAGGGGTTACAAAAATGTGCCGAAATTCTTATTATAATCCATCTCACCCCCCTTATCCACCAAACCAATTGCACTGTCAAAGGAAGAAATCAAGCTCATCCTAGGCAGAAAGCTTCGGCCAGCCAGAAACTCAGTAACACAAGTGCTCAGTGACACCTCACCCCAGCTTAAATTCTGCTAAGATGTCTTATGCGTTTCCATCCTGACCTGCAAAATTCCCTACCCATCCACACCTATCTTACTGTAAAAGCTCAGAAGTGATCCACAATGGCCACTTAGGTGTCTAATCCAATATCAGTAACAGATCCAGAAACTGGGACAAGGGGGATAGGTCCCCCCACTTTATTTGTGCTGTGCATGCACAATTAGCTCTGAACTCACTGCCTGGTCAATGTGGGTTCCTATTGGAGCTTCATTCAGCTCTGAGTTCACCAGCTGAAAGGGAGAGAGTCTGACCAGAGCTCCTGCTTTCAGGCAGCTGCAGAGTCCAGGGAGTGAACACGGCCACTGTTAGCCCCTCTCCTCCCTCCGCCTGTAAAAGCAGGAGCTCTGAGCAGACCCCCACACCAAGAGCTCTTGTGCAACATAGCCAAAGGGATGCTTCACTGCCAATGACACAGGAAACCTGGGTTGTGGATTAAGCTGATAGCATCTTAGAAGTGAAATAGGATCTGGGTCTTAGATGCACAACTATACTGATCACAAACGTAAGAGGTACAGCATAGGATTTGGCACTTCAACCTATTCTCTATTTTTCTTTCAACAGACATCAGGGAAGCTAAAATCCCCCATTATTACTCATATCTATTAGGTATTCTTTTTACTTGCTTGAAAATGCCTTATCTGCCTCCTCTTCCTCCACCCACTATAACTTCATTCTTCTTCTTCTAACCCTTTTACTTCAACCACTCAACAGATCTACTTCTCTCTTCCTCTTAGATCTCAGAGCAAGCGTATACATTCCTGACGTACAGTGCAACACATTTTTTTCTTTTTTTACCTGTTTTTATTTTTCTGGAACAAGCTATATCCTTCTATGTTGATAACTGAGTTGTGGGAATCAGCCCACCAAGTCTCTGTAATGTCAAATGATTCATATGTGTTTTTTTTTTTTTTTACATACTATGACTGCAGTCCATCCTGTTTGCTCCCTATATTCCTTTCATTGATACAGAGGTCCTGAAGGAGCACTGGAGACATTCCTACTGTTTTTCCCCTTGCATTTCTTTAGCCTTTCCCCCAATGTCTTCTCCAGAATTTAGCTCTTTCTCCCTTCATCCTAATTAGGTTATTGCTGCAGTCCCCCACAGAACCTAATTTAAAAGCTCTTCTCATCAGATTTGTCAGATTCTTCCCCGTGACCTCCACATTTGGCTATGTTTCTCCTGAACAGAGGCAGCAAAATTGATTTATAACATTATATATTGTTATAAATCCATTGATCACAAATGTAGCACAAGTATATTTATGTTCATTTTTATCTAAACTACATTTCAATTGC